CCTCTATCATATCATTGTTGGGGCATTCTTTCACCATAGTTCTGTATCGCTCCCAAATCTCGTGCAATGGTTCAGTAGGTTCCTGCTTGAAGGCTAAGATCTCATCCCGTAGTGCTGCCATGCACCCCGGTGAAAAAAATTTAGCAATGAACTTATCCGCCAACTCATCCCAAGTTGTGATGGAATGGTTGGGAAGTCGCTCAAGCCAATCCAATGCTTTCCCCCTAAGTGAGAATGGGAAAAGCCTCAATCGAAGTGCATCTTCGGACACATTGGTCTACTTGCTCCCCCAACAGGTATCCACGAACCCCTTGAGATATTTGTGCGCATTCTGAGTGGGAGCACCTGTGAAATACCCACGTTGCTCCAATAATGTCAGCATCACGTTAGTTATTTGAAAATTGCCCGCCCGAATCCGGGGTGGAACAATAGCACTTGCATAGCCTTGGTTGGGAAGAACGCTAGGAGCCACTCTTGGAGGTGGCGGAGGAGAGTCTGGAATATTGTCATTTGCATTGGCCTGGCGGCCTCTACGTTGTCCTTGAGGTACAAGAGGCACCTCTTCATCTCCATTGTCATTTACCTCCTCCCCCGCATTCACGTTTCCAAGAGGGTCATTAGCATTTAATGCCATTTTGTACCTGTTGTATTGACACAAACAAATTAGTAACAAAGGAGGAAAGAAGAACAAAACACAAATCTATCTAGATAGATAGCCAAAACCGTTAACTCCCCGGCAACGGCGCCAAAAAGTGATCACGGCCTACTCCGCACTACTAATTAAGTAGCAAGAGAGGGTCGGAGCAGCTTTTACCCGATTTTGGGTCGGGATCGATATCCACAGAGAGCTAGAATTGGAATCGAGTATCTATCTAGTTTAGGATTGCGTATGTGTTCCAAATTACACTTCTAATCATTTTTTGGGGGTTTTTTGTTTACTTCTACTATTATCAAACTACAAATGGTAATTGCAACTAAATTATGCTAAGAGTTATAATGCTACGAGTTGTTCAAATAGGTTAAAAAGGGCACTAGGGTAGTGACTTTCGCCTAGGTGGTCAATTGACGGGTACTTGAGTCTAAGACACGTTTGACATATTTGGGGAGTATGATATAACCGTTGCACGACTTTACCCACTATACACCTCTCGGTGGTTCGAGTGATTTTGCCCGAATTGACTTTCTCAAGACCAATTGGGTATGCAAGTTTGCACAAGCAACTAGGGTTCAAGTCGGGTATTACTCTCTCGAGGTTTTACCCTTTTATTGGGGCTATCAATCTCTTGAGTATGCCCCAATTCCTTGTTGGACCAATTTCGGAGACTTAGGCTCTCTTTCTCAAGAAAAGCTCAAGTCAACTCAGCACAAACTAGTGTTTGCAACCACTAATTCAGAAATTAACCATGAAATTGGTCTAAATAACAAACACCCATAGTCAAATTAGCCCTAAAATACTTGACCCATCAATTACCAACACTAGGATTGAGCCACAACCCTAGCTTATGGATCTAGCTACTTATAATTAAAGAAGAAAAACAAGAAATAGATGAAGATAAACTCATATTAATTGATTACTAAGATAAACACAAAGATTCAATGATGAAATGTAAATAAAATTGCCCAAAATGGCTACAAACTTCGAACCCACGAGCGCAGCTATGTTCTGATACTATGTGCTTGACCTAAAAATGGGAAAGAAGCTATTTATACTGAGCAGACAATTCTGGACAAAAATGCCCCTGCGGGGTTAGTGCGAACCGCACAAAATGGACCGCGGTCCATACTAGGGCTTTGGACTTAAAAAACAGCTCTCTGAACCTTGGCATCGCGGACCGCAGAGAATGGACTGCGACCGCGGAGGCTTCTAGTGCGGTCCGCACAGAATGGACTGCGGACCGCATTGGCTTGAAAACTCAAAACTGGCATTCTCTGAATCTTGGCTTTGCGAACCGCACAGAATCAAGTGCGGCCGCATTGGTTGCAGTGCGGACCGCACAAATCCTAGTGCGGCCGCATTGACTTTTTGCCTTGGAATCGACCTCCCTGAATCTCCTAGTGCGGACCGCACAAAGTGGTGTGCGGCCGCACTGGGCCTGTTTTGCCTGAGCTTGTCTTGTCTTTGGCGCTTGTGCAAGTTTTCACTACGTTTTTGAGCTTGANTGTCTTGTCTTTGGCGCTTGTGCAAGTTTCACTACTTTTGAGCTGATCTTTCACATCTTGTCCTTTTGTTGATCAAACCTGCAATTAAGTACAACTTGTGAGCCTTTTGGGACTATTTTGTATGAATTTCTAATCAAAGCATAAGCAAGAAGGAGTATAAAATGCGTCATAATCCCTAGTTATCACAAAGGCGCGCCGCATGGGGCTACATGCCACCGGGGCGGTTGTGGGAAACTTCAGAGAGCTTGTTCTGATAGGCTTCAGGAAAATTGGGCAGCTTCGGCGAGCCATGCGCCGCCCCACTCGCCGCGACTGTGGGACTTTCTCTGAGTATGGATTTTTCTTGCGTTTTTTCATATCCAGGCTTGATCATTGACCCCCAAACGTGATCCCGTATTAATCCCTTGGGCTTTTACTCAGACTTCAAAGCTCCAAATCACTTGAATTCATTCTATAACATCTACATAGCTCGGAATCGCTTCTACAAGGCATAAAACACATAATTAGTGCAAAACACTAGCGATTAAAGCTCAAACTCAATTAAAGTGTAGTAAATTGGAGTGCAATAAGCGACTAAAATACATAATTACAGCCTACCATCACTCTACTATATAAAGGGGAGGTTTTTTATTCAATACACACATTGTAACACACATATCAAGGCAATACAAAATTATTTATATATTTTCTAGCTATTGAAAGGTTCTTGTTTTAATCATAGTTCTTCATACGTATTTAGCTTCGATCGAGGTTCCGGTCAAGGGAAAAATTATTGTTAAGCTAAAATCCGATCCCGGACTCAAAGTCACAACTGGTTTGGTTATTTATCTCATCTTTAATTCGTTTATCTAACATTCTCGATTACTTGTGTTGAATCAATCCACATATCCTTAGAACCACATACAAATTTAATTATTATCCATTTTAAGGGTAAACAGTTTGGCACCCACCGTGGGATTAAGGATAATAGGGGTGGTTTGACACAAATCTCCATAACACACTCTATTTTACACTTGTTCTTTTAAGGTCCCAATTTCAAGTCAGTTTAACATTTCAAATCATCAGTCTGCTCATTTGAACGTCAAGGCTGAGTCTATCCACCATGGCGAAAACAACAATCTGGTGCTTAGCAATAAGGTGCCCCATGCTGATCCCAACGGAGTCCCAGTTGCAGATCCAGTAGATGCTAACTCACATGTGGCCATCGACGCCAACCTGCCTACCGACCCCAAGAAAAACGTTCATGGAGAAGCCTGACCAACGGCTCAAGGAACACCCGACAACGAAGGCGATGGAGTCGGCCTATGAGTGATTTTTGAAATGTTACAGGCTCAATAAGGGGCGATAGCGCAGCTGGAAAATCAAAGTCGCGGCCCTAGCAGAGTTGAGCTCGTACCATCTCGGGAAATCACCCTAAGAAATAAGCAGATCGCGGAAAGGCCGGGTGGAACTGAGCCCGGTGTCAGTCCCGAAGTGATGAAAATGCTTAAAGCATTAACAAAATGGGTGGAGTCAGGTGAAAAGAAAATTGAGGCTAACAACAAGAAGGTGGAGACATGTAATTTCTGGGTCGATCAAATCCCAGGAGCGCCCCCGATATTGAAAGGCCAGGACTCCAAAAAATTTGTCCAAAAGTCATTTCCTCCAAGTGCGACACCAAAGCCAATCTCGAAGAGGTTTTGTATGCCCAATATTCAAAAATATCACGGAACCACAGATCCAAATGAGCATGTGACCTCCTACACGTGCGCCATCAAAGGTAACGACTTGGAAGATGACGAGATTTAGTCAGTGTTATTAAAGAAGTTCGGGGAAACTCTATCAAAGGGAGCAATGACATAGTACCACAACCCACCCCCAAATTCCATTGATTCGTTTTTTACGCTCGCAGATGGGTTTGTAAAGGCTCATGTTGGGCCATCAAGGTCGACACCAGAAAATCAGATCTTTTAAAGGTTAAGCAAAGGGACAACGAGATGCTCAGGGAGTTCGTGTCAAGATTTCAAATGGAACGGATGGATTTACCTCCGGTTGCAGATGATTGGGCCGTTCAGGCATTCACCCAGGGGATTAACTCCCGAAGCTCCTTGGCATCGCAGCAGCTGAAGCAAAACATGGGCCGACGTCTACAATAGGTACCCGTCAAAAGTCAAAGTCGAGGAAGACCAACTCGGAGCCCCTTCTGGGTCCATTTATCCCATCATAACTGATGAAAGGCCTAATAGAGTCGTCGATCATAAATCAAGGCCAGACCGATATAGATACCAACAATACAACGCAGATCGAAGGGGAAATAGGTCCGGGCGCAACTCTACAAGGAACTAAAAGAAAAGCGATTGAGGGCCTAATAGCCGAGGTCTGATGAGCGAAAATTGTTTATACAATCCGCTCGGGGGGAGGGAAGCACCAAGATTATCATAGTATAGCTTCAATGTCGATGCAGCCAGCATCGTATCAGCTATTGGGTGCATCAAGGAAACCAAGTGGCTTGACCATTGTAGTTCGACCCTACCTAGAGGGATCCCAACCTGATGTGTAAATATCATGTCACTCATGGCCACAGGACCAAAGACTGCCGACAGTTGAGAGAAGAGGTCGCCCGGCTGTTCAATAATGGGCATCTCCGAGAATTTTTGAGTGATCGAGCCAAAAACTACTTCAGACACAGGGACTCCAACAAACAGACCAAACAAGAAGAACCTTAGCACGTCACCAACATGATCATTGGAGGGTTCAATGTCCCCAGGGACCGATAATAAAGTGCACTAAAGTATCCATCATGAGGAAAAAGTGCACCCGAGATTACATACCGGAGGGAACCATTTCATTCAGCGACGAGGATGCCGAAGGCATCGTACAGCCTCATAAATGAAGCACTGGTGATATCCGTATTTAGCAACAAATCTGGGGTTAAACGTGTGTTGATTGATCCAGGCAGCTCGACCAATATCATCAGATCGAGGGGCGTCGAGCAGTTGGGGTTACAGCTGGGGTTACAAGATCAAATAGTGTCGGCGGTCCGGGTGTTGAACCTATTTAATATGGCATATGAAACTACTAAGGGAGAAATAACCTTGCCAGTGAATACCACCGGGACAACTCAGGATACGAAACTCTATGTCATCGAAGGGGACATGCGGTATAACGCTTTATTCGGAAGGTTATGGGTTCACAACATGAGTGCAGTACCCCCAACACTGCACCAGGCGCTAAAGTTCCTTATGCCGGGAGGGATTAAGATGGTTTATAGAGAGCAACCGACCGCAAAAGAAATATTCGCAGTCGACGAGGTGATCCCAGTGCTCGTGATCCCGACATCAAAGAACACGGAGCTGACTATGAAGGAAGAAATTAAATAACAATCACCGATATCGAACCCGACCAAACCAGAAGACCGATGAGTAGGCGAGGAGGATGATTACGGGGTTCCTAGGTCGTTCATTGCTCCGGATGATTCCGATGCCACCAAATCGACGGTCGGGGAGCTGGAGCAAGTTATATTGATCGAATATCTGCCCGACGGAAGGTATACCTGGGCACGGGGTTAACTCCCAAGCTCGGGAAAAAACTCATTGAATTTCTTATAGCTAACATAGATTATTTCGCTTGGTCCCATCTTGACATGACAGGGATCCCGCCGGAGGTAACCACTCATAAGCTGAGTTTGGACCTAAAGTTTCATCCGATTAAGCAGAAAAGGAGACCGCAGTCCAAAGTCAAGCACGTTTTTATCAAGGACGAGATATCTGAACTTCTTAAAATAGGATCCATTTGGGAAGTTAAGTTCCTGGACTGGTTAGCCAATGTTGTGGTAGCAACTAAGAAAGGAAATAAGCTAAAATATGTGTAGATTATAAAGATCTGAATAGGGCATGCCCTAAGGATTCTTTTCTTTTGCCTAACATCGATCAGGTGATCGATGCGATGGTCGGGCATGAGATACTAAATTTTCTCAATGCTTATTCCGGTTACAATCAAAATTGGATGGACCACGTGATCAAGAAAAAACTTCCTTTAACACTAACTTTGGCACCTATTGTTATAACGCAATGCCATTCAGATTAAATAACGTCGGTGCCACCTATCAATGCCTAGTAAACCGGATGTTCGTAGAACAGATAGGAAAATCAATGAAAGTTTATATTGATGACATGTTAGTCAAGTCCCTGCAGCAGAGGACCATTTGAAACATTTGCAGGAAGCCTTCGAAATATTGAAGAAATACAATATGATGATAAACCTGGAGAAGTGCGCATTCGGGGGATCTGGAAAATTCCTCGGGTTCATGGTATCCAATCGAGGGATCGAGATCAATCCCGATAAAATTAAAGCCATAGAAGACATCACTATGGTGGACAACGTCAAGACCGTTCATAGGCTGACCGGGCGTATAAGCACCTTGGATCGGTTCGAATCGTGGTCCTTGGATAAAATCCATCGATTCTTCTCACTATTAAAGAAGAAGAATAACTTTTCCTGGACCCCGGAATGCCAACTAGCTTTGGAAGAACTCAAGCAGTACCTCTCGAGTCCCCCCTGCTCTAAACTCCAAAGACAAATGAACAATTGTACCTTTACTCGGTTTCAGAGGTGGTGGTAAGTGAAGTTTTAGTCTAGGAAGAGGAATGTACGCAATTCCCCATTTACTATGTCAGTAGGACTCTAGGCGAGGCCGAAACAAGGTATCCTCACTTGGAAAAATTGGCGCTCGCTTTGCTAAGCGCCTCCAGAAAGTTGAAATCGTACTTTCAATATCACCACATATGTGTCGCAACCTCTTACCCACTGAGGAGTATCATGCACAAGCCTGAGCTAACGAGCCGGTTGGCCAAATGAGTCATCGAAATTGGCGGGTACGATATCAAGTATCGACCCCGAATTGCCATAAAATCTCAAATTTTGGATGACTTCATGGCCGACTTTAAACCCGCCTTAGTTCCCGAAGTCGATAGATAATTATTGTTAGACTCGGAGACTACCTAGGGAACTTAGACCCTTTTTACGGACGGTGCCTCAAATGCAAAAGGGTCTGGGCTCGGTATCGTACTGAAGCACCCTATGGGAAGTGTAGTTAGGCAGTCTATTAGAACCGCGAAATTGACTAACAGTGAGGCCGAGTATGAGGCCATGATTACATGTCTCGAATTGGCTAAAAGCCCTAGGGCCAAGGTGGTCGAAGTTAAGTGCGATTCACTCTTTATGGTAAATAAAGTCAATGGGACGTTCAAAGTATAATAAGAACAAATACGAAGGTATTTAGACAAGTTTCAAGTACTGCTGCATCAATTCAATGAATAGACCTTGCAACACGTGCCCCGAGATCAAAATAGCGAGGCCAATGCTCTGGCTAACTTGGGGTCATCGCTTGATGACGTTGAATTCAATTCGGGAACAACCGTACTACTCATGAAGTCAGTGGTAGAAGAAGGCCGTGCCGAAGTAAACTTTCATGAAGTCATCGAGAGCCCTCCGTACCAAAGCTGCCAGATTTAGCTTGGTCGAAGGGGCATTGTTCAGAAGAATGTCCAACAGCCCGTTATCTAGATGCTTGGGGCCAGGATACACCGAGTACGCCTTGAGAGAAGTTCACGAAGGCACTTGGAAAACCATTCGGGGGAAGAATCTTTGGTTCGGAAATTAATCAGGGTCGGCTATTATAGGACCGAAATGGAGAAAGACACGAAAGACTTCGTACAAAAATGTGATGGCTACCAGAGACATGCAATGATGATCCATCAACCGGGAGAGCTACTACACTTGAACCTGTCCCCATGGTCGTTTATGAAATGGGGGATGGACATCGCCAGTCCCCTGCCATGGGCATCCGGTAAAGCTCAATTCATACTATTCATGACTGACTATTTTTTCCATATAGGTCGAGGCCCAAGCATGCGAAAAGGTCCGGAAGAATGAAGTCATTGACCTAGGACCACATAGTTTGTCGATTTGGGATACCCACCGAAGTTGTGTGTGATAATGGGAAGCAATTCATTGGCACCAAGGTGAACAAATTTTTCGAAGATCACAAGATTAAAAAGATACTATCAACACCTTACCACCCTTTTGGGAACGGACATGCGGAGTCAACAAACAACACCATACTTCAAAACCTAAAAACGAGGTTGACCGATGCCAAAGGGAAATGGAAAGAAATCTTGGTCGAAGTCCTAAAGGCATATCGTACAACCTCGAAGTCCAGTACTGGGCCACTCCGTTTTCGTTGGTCTACGGAGCCGAAGCCTTGATACCAGTCAAGGTGGGAGAGCCGAGCCTCATGTTCCAATATGCAACCGGAGAGTCAAATGGCAAAGCCATGGTCACGAACCTAGAACTATTGGATGAAAGGCGTGAGACAGCTTTAGTCTGGTTGGCCGCCCAAAAACATCAGAGAGAAAGATACTACAACTGAAGAGCCAACCTCCGACACTTCAAGATTGGGGACTTGGTGTTGAGGAAAGTAATATTACACACCCGGAACCCGAACGAGGGAAGGCTGGGATTGAACTGGGAAGGACCGTATCGAGTCATCGAAATTATCAGCAAAGGTTCATACAAACTCGAAGCGGGAAACTGTGTGCAACTACCAAACAATTGGAATGTGACACACTTAAAACTACTGCTAAGGTACGATCTCAACTACTCTTTAATCATGTTATGAATTGAACTAACACTTGCAGGCAACGCTCAAGAATGGATGTGGCTATTAGGTCTGAAAGCACGTGTTACACTTTTTTTTTCTTGAACCGGTTTTGTCCCAAAGTGGGGTTTTTTGGCAAGATTTTGAATGAGGCACCAATAAAATGTACTAACTTAGATTCGAAGGCCGGTCTCAAAATGGAGTCAACGAGCGTTCACTTTATATCACCAGTATCCGAGCCCTCTCAAGCTCGACCTCGGATATTGGGGGCCATTACCCTCGAATTAAGGTTTTCCGCTAGGGAAAATTTATCAAAGAAAAAAGAAAAACCTTGTATGCTAGAATCTAAGTCTTGGTGGTTAGGATTCATTGTAAGGGCCAAACGGTCGTGTGGACTGTGCCCACTTAGTCCACTTTAGCCATGAAATAAGCTTTACGCATTTTCGATCATGTACTTTACACACAGAAATGAAAGAAAATTCTGCCTTGCTATTACACATTTTCTTGCCTCTTAAATTTCGGATCCTAAAAACCCACGGGCTACCCCTATTCGGGGACTATCGAGCCCAAGGGCTACCCTCACTCGGGGACTTCGTCCGGAAAACGTTCGGACTATTCGGGCTACTAAATCCAAGAGGCACCAAACCCATTAGGTGGTGTTTAAATACAAAAGGCCACGCCACCCTAAAAATGGCTCGGAGACGTCTGAAGCTCGTAATCACTTTCATAAAATTTCGAAACCTGCTAAAAGGTCACACTCGGCAAATGCATCGTCTAAAATCACTTAAGCATCTTGAAAAAACTTTCGGTCACATCGAGTTTTCAAAGCCTCAAACAAACAAAGTTGTATCGAAGCCAGGCTCCGTTCGGACCTCTAAAATCGAATGCCCTATAACTACATTTGATTCTATGCTAAGGCATTAGAAACATTGCAAGAATAGAAATTATGAAAAGATGTTGAAAAAGTAAAAACTCGAAAATGCCAGAAAGGGAAAACGTTATATATATTCCGGAATATACTTACAAAGCTCCAACAAAAACAGCCTCAAAATAAACAAAAAATATGCATAAGACAAAAACTAAGCTAGCGTTTGGCCATAGATTCCCAAATTTGTTTTAAAAATTCTGATTTGGGTGAAGTTTGGTTTAAATATGAAAATGTGATTGCACATATGTTTTCAAAATATATTTCCCAAATTTATTTGGAAAAACATGTATATTATTAATGTTTGTAAATATTTTGGCCCAAAACTAGCTATTGAGCTGGTTTTGGGATTTGAGATTTGGGATTTTGCCAAACATAGGCAAAATCTATGGCCAAACATGCGTTTGCCAAATAAAACCTAAATTTATTTTGGCAAAATCAATGGCCAAACGGGTCCTAAAATAGTATTAAGGCATCTAAGCCAAATCTTCACCAGGGCCCAACTCGTCGCCGGAGTCTTCAGAACCTTCGGATCCCTCCGAGCCCTCAGAACCCTCAAAGCCTTCGGCACCTTCAGGCTCATAAAGCTTCTTCGCCTCAGCCTCAGATTTTTTGGCTTCCTCGATCTCAGCCGACAGGTCAAAACCTCGGGCATGGATCTCTTCGAGGGTCTCTCTTTGGGATAGCCGTTTCATATATTCAGCCTTTGCCTTCAAGCGGACTTCGGCTGCCTCCATATCGATCTTGTATTGGTCCACTATTTCGTCGGCATCAGCTGAGGTTGTATCCAACTTGGA